TTAAGATGCTTCTCATGTTAGTAACTCGAACATCTCTTCTGTATTCTTATGATTCTTGACAAATTCAATGAATGATCGAAGCCCTTGAAGCCTTTATCTGTATATCTAACTCTCTTTATCTGTATATCTAACAGCCCCTGCGCAAGAACGATACGCAAATTCGTGAAGCGTTCCAAATTTTTTTCTCTCTCTATCAATAAGTCGTACTTAGTATGTTTAATTCAACAAGATGAACAATTTTCAACTTATGAAGTGTTCCTGATTTGTTAATCATATGCATGTTTTTAATTGTATGGTTGAAAACGTATTATGCTGTCACCAGAAGCAGTTTAACTATGATTTCCAGTTACTCAAGCTCATGTGTGGAACATGTAATTTATCTAGATTGGTCTATAAATGATTTTTCTCAAATCAGCTTCATTCAATAAAGCTCTGCGCAGCAATCAGACACTTTCTCAAGCCCATCTTCCGCTTCATCAGTTTTATTCTTATGGTTTCAAAAATATACGAAGAAGCAGATAGTTTTGTGCTTTCTGTCCGATGGATCAGCAACATACTCATAGTCATTGCCCTACCCTTCCAGTGTATGCTCATACGAGTCTTATGGAAGAATCGTAAAATATCTGAATATACCTCACCATTCTACCTCACTGTGCAAATCAATTGTGTGTTTGTTTTTGTAAAGATATATTCAGGATATTATTTAGGTTTTTTGAACGTACTTCAAACGCTGGCCAAACTGTTTGTTGACGTTCCCGCTACTTCTGATGCTTTTCGCGAAAGTTATGCGGAAAACGCCAATATTGGTAAGAAATTCTTTGATGGAAGCAATTTATTTTAATAGGTTCCTATTTCAGTTGGGAAATTAATAAACTTCAGAGGTTTCTATATATCAATGATTATCGTTAGCAATTTGGCATATATAACTATCAATAGGCTTGCAGTCATTTTACATGTTGACACTTATCGAAAAGTATATAACGTTTTCAATTCCTCTTCTAAAACATACTTCATTCAAGAAGCCAGTGTTAAGATCAACAATAAAAAAATTATTTTCCATCTGGCTTTTCTGGAGCATACTCTGTCTACCGATTGTTTGGCCAATTGAGTATAGAGCAGTCCGTTTGGATGCCATTGATTATGACTATCAAATTATCTCTTCTCAAAGGTTCTTTCAAAAGGTTTATGTGATGTCTTCTATTGTTCACACATTTTCCGTCCTTATATTAACATATGTAGCTTACATCATTATTGGAATACAGCTATATAAGGTTAAGAAGAGAATTTTCTTTGTTAAATACTATTACTTCAGAAGAAGAATGCCGTTTTGAAAAAAAGAGTGTTAAATGTGACATTGGCTGCATTATTGATGTCGTTAGGTCATTTATTCAAAGTTATTCTTGTAATTAGTGTATACTTTCAGGAATGATACTATGCATCGGTATTGTTGCAGCAGATTTTATAGCCTCTCGCTTCGGTTATTATTTTCTCACTCAGAACTATTACCAAATGGTTTTCAATCTTGGAATAGATTTCAATGTATTCATCACTCCTATCTCAGTAATAGCATTAACGACTGATGTAATATCGAAAAAATGTAAATTTCCAATAACATTTATCGTTTATTTAGGTGCGAAAAAGGTTATTCGCTTCATAAAAGCCAAAATCATCAACGTCTGCCAATATGGCAACTGTATAATCGAATAAGAGGAAAGCTGTTCCAAATAACCGTTTTTGATTCAATTAATAGAAAATTTTTGTTGTCATTATTGATTCACGTGCCACGTGATGAAAGTCATCGAAGTCATTTTTATGTTTTTAACAGACAGAACGGTTGCACCTGCGCAATTAATTCGAATAATTTCAAGAGGAAGAAATAAAAATTTACTTAATATTGAATGGTTGATACAAGATCATTTGGAAGTAGGAAGGGAAGGAAAAAGAAAAAAAGTCAAAAAGAGATGCTCAAGACAGGAAGCTGTGTCGCCACGCCACAACGTGGAGTACTAACCACTATACTACTCGGGCCAACATTTTTCAAAAATTGATAAAAAAAAATCAAAGTATGAAGCCAGGAAGGAGACCTTCCCATCAATCTGGCATTATGTGATATCTTCAGCTATTACATGTGAGAATGATCATAGTCAATGTCTCATTTTCGTCTGAAGTGTTAAATAACACAAAGAATGGGCCATATTATCATTTTGTTTGGTCTGAAGAAACCATCAAATAGGTTTTCCGTTCAATCCTGTCTGCTGAAGATAAGGTTCATGCAAGACTCTTGCAGTATGAAAGGGAAACGGGATCTTCATAACCCTCTACTTCTAAGAGAGCAAACTAAATTGTAAAAGATATCTTCATAAAATAACACACAACAATAAAATGAAATGCTATCAAATCAATGAATTCGAACTGACTATGAATTCAGAGTGCTCTCATGGCATTTGGATATCTGTTCATTTAGAAAAATGAACTTATAGAGACACTCTTAGAGAATAGTAGTAGACCTGCTATTGAGCTTATATATAGTACTTATTGGATCAGAAACTTTCTGCAGATTGGAACTGACTATTCGCTTGATGATATTCAGAGGAAGAACTGAATGATAGACTGGGGATATCGGTATCATCTTGTACCTACTTACCTGAGGAACACATTTCGTTCAAACGTTCCTTATAGGCAGGGATGA